GAAAAAAAAAAATAATAATGGACTTCCCCTGTTTCTAATTTGATTGTTTGGTTACTGATTTGAAATTGTTTTCCTTGTAACTTTGCATGCTGATTTTTGAGTTTTTTTTTTCTTTATTAATATTTTGGATTTGCATTTGAGTTTAGAGGAAAGCAAAATATAATTTTCAAACAATGTCCAAAGTCCCATAATTGAATATTGTTTGACATTGAAAAAAAAAACAAAAGAAAGATTGAATTTATGTTTGATATGGCCTCTATATATGTGTAGGACTCCACAAGAAAGTTAGGGAGATCATAGTAAGAAATATTGACAGTGAAAATTACATTAACTTATGAGAGTGTGATTATTACATAAAATGTGATTTGATGTTGTTTATAATTGAGAGAGTGAAAGTGATTGAATGTTGAATTTATGATTATTATTTTTCTTACAAACAATAGATTGTGTTTGCTTGCTTGATATTTTTCAATAGTATTATGTCATACATATCTTTATAATATTTTTTTTTTTTTTTTTTTTTTGTGCTCTAAATTGTCATATTGTGGTGCAGTGGCAAAATCAATCTCTGCTAAGTCAAGTGAAGGCCCCCAACCTGAATTGGAGTCCTCTGCTTGCTGCCCTAAAAATGATTTGGTCTATACAAGGAGGAAAAAATATGGGAAAAAGCCACCAGTCCCTCAAAATGTTTTGGTCTATACGAGGAAAAAGAATGCCAAAAAGTCGAATGAAATTGACAACGAAGGAAAGCATTTGGCACCGAAAGTCGAGCTCGATGAGAGGACAATGAGAGAATGGGAAATCTCGACCGGAAAACTCGATTCTAGTAAAGACCCGGTTGAAGGTGAAATCGAGTGGTGGGAGAAGGAGAGGAGATCTTTTGTCGAGCGGGTCGAATCTTTTGTTTCCAGCATACGACCTATCCAAGGTGACTTGTATTAATTGTTGTTCAATTTACTTAAAGTGTTTTTTAGTACATGTGAACATTCACAGAATAGATCATTTTGGAATTAAGTGCGTGTATAAAGTTGATGGAAGTTTGCAGGAGAAATAAAATTTTGCAAGTGGAAAGGTTCAGTCTTGGACTCTAATGGGAACATACCTCACACAGAACGTGAAGGACACTTCTTCAAGGTCGCAACAATGATTCTTTCTTTTTCTTTTTCTTTTTTTCTTAGAGATATTCATTTTCTCTTTATTATTGAGCAGCTCTGCCTTCATATCACTCGCGGCTAAGTATCCGCTTGAGGCAGCCCAAGTACATTTTCTGCCACCCGAATCTGAAAAAATGGCTCTGAGGTCGAGTGGATCAAAAGCGAAAGAACATGAGGTGATGCTGCACACTATGGTCAGTTGGAAAATGAAAAGGCCACGAACTACTGACTTTGGAAGGAAAAATCATGTGTTGAAGGGGAAAGCTATGTGTGCAAAATTCTCGTGTTCGGAAGTTGAAAAAAGGAGGAAAATAATAAATGGTGAGGTCCTGCCCATGCCCATGACCCATAGCTGGAATACGAATGCGAGAACACGTGTTACTGAAAGGAAAAAACGTGCACTCATAACAGGGAAAAGGAAGAGGAGTGAAGATAAGGAAGAGGAGTGAAGATGGTTGGGATGCTTTAAAGAAACGTTATATGGAAGGTGAGTTTGGTGACGACACATATGATAATCACACATCGGATGCTTTGGATTGGAAAGCAGTTCAGATGGCCGAAGTTGACGAAATAGCTAAGGCCATTGAAAAACGAGGGATGAGCAATAATTTGGCCACAAGAATAAAGGTTTTTTATTTTCTTCTTCTTTTAAATTACGGTGATTCAAATTTTAGTTAGGAATAATTTGATTTACCAAGCTATTTGTTGTCTTGTAGAATTGCCTCAATATGTTGGCGACTAATGTCGGTTCTCTTAACCTGGAATGGATAAAAGGTGTTCCAGATAACACGGCAAGGTAAAGCAAGCTACAAGTAAAGTATTCATAATTTTCGTCCTGGCCAATTAAGTATATTCATTTTTCTGAATGTTTAACATGTTTTATGTTACTGGTTTTAGAGAACACTTGTTGAGCATATCTGGGCTGGGGCTAAAAAGCGTGGAGTGCATACGCTTGTTGTCACTATAACAGAAGGCATTCCCGGTAAGCTTTTATTAGCCAATCTTTCATTTTATGCATGCTTTTTCGTTTTTTGATTAATAAAGATTGAATGAAAAATAAAAGTACTTTGACTTGAAATGATTTTAGATTGACACAAACGCCGGGCGGATTGCCGTACGCCTCGGATGGGTCCCCATTCAACCCCTTCCACAAGGGCAAGGGCAGGAATTTCATCA